TCCAACACTTACAAAAAATTCGAAGTCTTAGAATTTTGACTTTTCAAAGATGAATTTTGACTTTTTGGTTTATTGATGAAAAAATTTCATAATTTAACATTTCTTGATGAATTGTAATCTTTGAAACTTTATTTTGATCAAAAAGTCAAAGTTTGACTTTTCAGTGTACAGTTGACTTTTCATCAGTTGACTGAAATTCATCTATCAATCAATTGATAGTGAAAAATGTTTTGAGCCATGCCATTAAGTCAAAATGATGTATTTGAATCCTTGATACCATGTCTCAAACCAATAAGTCATTTGTTAGGTCAAAAGTCGAAACTTAAACCTCCTCAGTAAAAACTCTAATTTTGACCATTTTGCCCTTTTGATGATCTGATCAAATTTTTTGAGGAATTATGATCTAAACTTGATAAAATGACATATATGAGTTCATGATGTTGATATCTATAAAAAATTATGAAGTTTGACTGCAAATTGACCACAATTGACTTTTTTTCCAATACAGTTGATTTTAGGTCAACTGATCAACTGACTGAGCAAAAATGTGATCCAAGACTTAAAACTTGACATAAGCAATCTTGAGGGTCCAAAATGATCCATGAAAGTCATTTGAGGCCTTGAAAGTTCAATTGTCCTTGTGAAAACTCAAACCCTAATTTTCAGTTGTTAGTGTTGAGGAAGTGTCTTGAGCTAATCAAACCTTGTGTAGTCTTGAACCAAATGAGATCTTATGAGAGATTTCTTGAGAAATGAGAGGGAAAATTTTGGGGTACAACAACTTCCCCTATTCAATCTTCTTAAAACTGAAGAGTTAGATTGGCGGATCCGCCATTCGTGACTTGAAGGTGGAAGATAATTGAACACTAGACCACCCAGAAATTTGCACTCGAAGATGTATTGGGAATGGGCTTATAGATGTCATTTGGAGGAATGATGGTAAATACTGGAAGAAGTATCAGCACAAATCTTTGGTAGATTTATACTAAAATTTGATGTTTTACCTGTGGGAAAAAAGGGTTAGTTAAATGCAGATGTATGCATGGCGTTCTCAAGATGAATGAGATTGTGCTAAATGCATTTTGTATGTATATGCTATGATGTATGAATGTGAGATGCATATTTTTCCGGGTAGGCAAGTAATCTTGAAAAATTCGCCACAAAAGATGTTTCACTCTAGCAGGTGCTTTAATATTTCAGATACTAATCCAATTTTCCTTGTTGTTTAGAATAGAAGGGGTTTTCTTAGCATTCCTTCACACCATGTACCCCGATCGCACACTATAGCTACAACTTTGTTCCTCCTTCCACACCAATTTATCCTCCGTAACCTTCTCCATTATAGGCACTTGAAGAATATCCTATATTGTTAAATAATAAAAAATATCACTTAAAACTCTCATATCCCATTATTTAACATTATTAAGCATGAGGTTTCTAACAATAATATCATACACACCTTTTTGTTGTGTCCACTCAAACAACCCTCTCTTTTCCCTCGAAGCCGTGGTTCATTCATCACCTTGATCCTACTACCATCCCCGATACTCCACCTGTAACCAAGTGTTAGAACTTCTCTAGCTTTCCACATACTCCTCCACACATGGCTAGGATTGTACCTCAACTTAGCATAAAAAAAGAGGTTCTAGGCAAGTACCTTGCTTTAAAGATGCGAGACACTAAAGCTTGAGGTTGAGACATAATAAACCATATTTGTTTAGTTACCATCACCATATTGAAAGCTTTAAAATCACTAAATCCTAATTCTCCTTACTTTTTCGTAAGCGTGAGTCATTTCCACGCCATCCATCTTATTCCTTTGTTGTTACTCATTCCCCCCACCCAAAAGAGTTTAACATCTTCTCAATATTGTTAATCACCGCATCCAGGAGAATATAAGCACTCATAATGATGGAATATCTTGTAGCACATATTAGATCATAACCTCCTTACTGACTTTAGATAAAGAACGTCCTCTCCATCAGTTGATCCTTTTCCATATTCGGTCCTTGATGAAAGAGAAGATTGTCTTTTTACTCCTTTTAATCATGGAAGGTAACCCCAAATAAGTACATATTCCCATAACGTGCCAAACTCCCATTATGTTAGCAAGATCCTTCTTTGTAAGCAACGACAAGTTATTGCTAAAGAACATTTCAGACTTCGACAATTTAATTTCCTGACCTGACGCGTCAGCATAGGTTTTGAGTAAACTCATGAGAGATCTCACTTTAGATGAATTAGCACTGCAAAATAAAAAAACAATCGCCAGCAAAAAACAGATGAGACACACTTAATGTCCCCCTGCAAATTTGAATTCCGTGAATATCTCTTTTCGCCACTACACTCTTAATAAGAGCCAATAGGCCTTCTGCTATAAATAAAATATATGTATTTAAAAGTTTGTTATAATAATACATTTGTAGAAATATTGGGCGAGATACCACAATTCATTTGAGTTAGATGAGTTTTAAGTGGTATAAAGTTTGATAATATTATTTCATTATATTTATTATTATATATTAATATAAATAAATTGTTAATATTTATTAAAAAAAATTAAATTGTAAAAATTGTATAATTTCAATGGTATTTTTTATATAAAGGTGAAAAATTAAGTCAATACAGAAATAAAAGGCAAGTGAACAACAAGCTGCACGACTATTCTTTTTTGAATTGTAAAATAAAACTTAAAAACTACATCATAGACCTGTTAAAAATCCACCAAATTCTATGATAAATTTCTACCACAATGACAATTTAATTATGAGACAAACAAAGAAAAGAAGACAAGACAAATAATTTCTGCAGAGTTTCTCTCTGCTCACAAACTGTGAAAACTTTCTTATTCACTTTGCAACTGCAAAATACTGTGAATAACTTGCTTGACTTGCTTACAAAAATAAATAGGAGTTACTCCCTCTATTTATAACTAACCTTACACCCTAAGCCCAAAGCCCAAAATATCTTTTTGTTACTAAATCAAATCTAATTTATTCTAGACTTAAATCAAATCTATTTAAATCTAAAACAAATCAAATCTTTTCGACACATAGTTTCGACACAATGAATTACAATTTAACATGATCTAAGAGATATAATATTATTATTTTTGTAAATTATTAATATAATAAGAGGGAGAAAACAAGTTTACATTAAAAAAACAACATTATTATTGTAATATAAATATGTATTTTATTTAAGCATGCAATTTTTTAAAAAAGTTTTTAGTCAGTTTCCCTCATAATATTTCACGTGTTTGGAAAAAGATTTTGGTCCAATATATATATGGTAAAAAATTATTAAAATATTAAATGTATTTCGTAAAAAATTATGACTAAAAACATTCTACCTGTTTAATTTCTTTTGATTGTGTTTTATGAAAAAATTATATATTTTACTTTCAATTTAATATACTATAATATATTTATAATAATAATAAATACATCAATATACGATAAAAATATAATTTTAATTTAATTTTATATTTATATTTATAAAATTTTATTAATCGATGTAAAATAATCAAATAAAGTATATAATACTCTCTTTTGTCTAAAAAAACTCACTTACTTTAGAATACTATTTATTTTTCTAAATATAAACACTTTGGATTTTTTTTTGAAATTTAAAATACATTTATTATTTATTTATCAATACACTTTTAAAAATTAGGCAAGAAATGAAGGGAAAAAAAAACTCATAAATAGACCACAATTCAAATGTAGCAAATATTTGAAGTATTTGTGGCTGGTGTATTGTGATTTTACTGTCCAATTTCTAGATTGTGTATTTTATTTTTAAAACTTTTATTTTCAAATGTTTTAAAACTTATATTCTTCATCTCAAAACAATTAATTTAATTAGTTAGTAATATTTTACACTATTTAAACAATTTATTCTACAATTAAATTAGAGTTGAATACTTAAAATGTCTTTTAATAAAAATCAACAATTTAGAATGTTATCAAAATAATATAAAAATAATGCGATTTGACGGAATATATGTGATTAGTTAGTTATTAGTGTAAAATCATTTACTGTTATTAAAATTTAAACATTTAATCTAGACAAAATGATTAAAGAAAATCGAATGAGTGAATGCTTAAAAATTATAAAATTTAGACTAGAAGAAGAATTAACTACAGTCTTATCCTAATCGTAGTTAAAGGAAAAAAGGCACATTGAATTCAGCGCCAGAGGTATGAACGCGCAAAAAAGGGTCAAATACAACGTTAAACACACTCATACACCTGACCCATCTGACACTCCACGTGTCCCCCGCTCCAAAATATCTCCACGTGTCACAATCTCAACCATCCACCCTCTAAATCATGTCAAAACCTGATTCGCATCAAGACAAAATCATAACCAACCCAAATCAAAGCACCAAACTCAACCATAACCCAACCCATGGTTACGCGTATCACAGCGATTATATAACTGTGGTTATCTCATAAACTCAGAACCAAGAGTGAACGAGAGCTTCATTTCACAATTGAGAGCGAGAGAAAAAAAGAGTGTTCACATTTTTCAGTTTGCAAGATTCTACTACTGTTCTAATTTTTTTTACACTCCCTCTCCCCCTCTTTACACCCCGCTTCTCTGTATCCCTTTCTGTTAATCATCTGTCTTTCCTTCTATAATACTTTTTTGAGTTTTTCTCTAAAAAAAACTATATCCAGAAAAAGTCAGGTGTTTTCAGAATCGAGATCCAGTTTTTTTTATCTTTTTATTTTTATTTTTTAATTTTGAGAATTATAGTTTAATCTTTTTCTCATTTTTTAATCACCCAAGAGGGTTTTTTTTTTATCCCTCTTAGCTTTTTCAATTTAAAAAAAAAAATCTGAAAAAAGAGGTTGTCTATTTTAAACCTCTTTCACCAATTTCTTAATTTTTTTTCTTCATTTTATTTGTTTTTAATTAAACACAGGTTGATTTTATCTAAGATCTGTGTTATTTTTATTTTTATTATATTTTTGTGGTTTATAAATTAGTTTATGGCAGGTAGAATGGATTTCTTCAACAATTCGCAAGATCCATTCAATGGTGAGTTAATGGAAGCACTTGAACCTTTTATCAAGAGTTCTTCCACTACTCATTCATCTTTATCTACACCCGCTTCTCTAAATTCACACCTCCCTTCAACTTCATCACAATTTTACTCTTCTACCCTTACCTATTTCCAACCCTCTTTTCCTCCTCCACGGCCCAATTTCTACAGAGAAAATGGTTATTGTTCATCCATGATGAATTACCAATTTCCCTCCTCGGGTAATTCATCAAACAGCCAGAATTTCATTGGCTTTGAACAACAACCACAACCAAATTCTGTAATTGGGCTAAACAACTTAACCTCATCTCAAATCAATCAGATCCAAACCCAGATTCAGTTTCAGTCTCAACAAATCAATCCAAATTTGAGTTTCCTTGGGCCTAAGCCCGTCCCAATGAAACAGTCCGGTGCACCTCCGAAGCCGACGAAGCTTTACAGAGGTGTAAGGCAGAGACATTGGGGAAAATGGGTTGCTGAGATAAGATTGCCCAAGAACAGAACAAGGCTCTGGCTTGGGACTTTTGATACTGCTGAAGAAGCTGCTTTAGCTTATGATAGAGCTGCTTATAGATTAAGAGGTGATTTCGCCAGGCTTAATTTCCCCAACATGAAGGACCAACAAGGTTTGCTTGGGGAGTTTAAGACTATGCATTCGTCTATTGATGCTAAACTTGATGCTATTTGTGAGAGTTTAGGCAGTGATGATGCCAAGAAATCAGGGAAAGTGGAGAAAAAAGTGAAAGGTTCTAAGAAAGATTTGAAAAAAGAGGTTCAACCAAGTCTTGTTGCTGATAACAAGAAAGTTGTTGTTGAAAGCTCTTTGTGTTCAAGTGAAGGGTCTGATGATTCTTCTCCTCTTTCTGATCTCACTTTTGGTGATTTTGGGGAGCCACAGTGGGAAAATTGTTGTGAGCAGCTTAAGTTGCACAAGTTTCCTTCTTATGAGATTGATTGGGATTCTATTTGAAAGATAAGATGATAGGGTTTTAGTGGTGGTGGCTACTACAATTTGAGTTTTTGAAAATTGTAGTGCTGCTTCTTGTTCTATGTTAGGTTTTAAGTTATTTATTGTTATGTCAAATATGTTGTATATCTATGGAACTTAGTCAGCTGGCTTTTTTACTTGCTTGACTAAGGAGAACGAATGACTTCGGCTTAGGTTTTATATATGTTACATTATTCATGTAATTTAATTCTATTACTTGTATTTCAAGTTATTATTATTAGAATGAGAATATGTTTTATGTACTACTAGTACTTTGTTACTTTTCATCTATTTTACTTGCTACTGTTATTTGAGATTTCTTAGAAGGGACTAATCAATTTGGAGTGTTATGTGAGTCTTACAAGCAATGCATCAATTATGATAAATCTTAGGCTTCTTTCTAGAACCATTTACAAGCAATGCATGAACTATGATAACTCTTACGCCTCCTTCTAGCACCATTTACAAGCAATATATAAACTATGTATATAACTCTTAGGCCACTTTCTAACACCATTTCTTTGAGGTATTGTCTATTTTGAATACATGGATGATTATCATATTTGTTATGGTATTGAACTATAAACCAACTTACCTTCAATTATATCTAATTATCATATTTGTTATGGTATTGAACTATAAACCTTGTTGGTTGAGTCAATTTCTAATATTTACTTTAAAGGTTGATAAAATTTGGCTTTAATTATAATATTTAAGTGTTTAAATTTACCTGTATACTCTAATTCAAAATATGTTGTCGAAAATAATATTCAAAATTACGGTTAAAATTGTATTGGTTGTGTTTGTGTATTGAAATATGATTTCTCTCAGATGATCTTGGAAGGTATGGTAAATGCCGTTCTCTAGGTAAATATAGGTCATATTAGTTGAACCACTTGTGTATTTATCTTCTTATTTTTTCCATTCAATTATTATGTGTTTAGATTCTTTGTTCCAAAGTTTTACTATTAATAACTCACTGATTCTATTTCGAAATAAACCATTTTTCACAAGACTCACCACCATATCATCATCATTGATAAATTGAACACAAAATACGTTAAAGGTTCCCATCGAAGAAAACAATTGAAACACAAAAACCTCGTTTTGGAGAATCTTATCACGTTTTGCATGAATTCACTTTCCACTTATTCCATTCACTGAACCATGCCAGCTTTCGACAAAGACTGACATGCCTCCTTCTCAATGTTCAAAAACATTTGTATTTATTCCTCACATGTTTGTATAACAACAAAAACGCTTTCACATTTCATCACATGAGTTTTCCGAATCCAACAAAAGTTTTTCACTTTTTTAAATTTTTTTCTGTGATAATTTAACACTATTTTTAAATCTTTTGTACTATGTAAGATACCTTTATAATTAGATTTGAGAATATTTATTTTGTCTATCATAGTTTCGTTAACAAGAGTTTTAGATGACTAAATTAATAGTACTTTACTGCAAAAACTCTGATATTTTTGTTTGATATGAGAACTCTGACACTATTATAAAATTTATAATCTTATCATATCATATCAATCGATAAATATCATAGCTTTATAATTATTTTAAGCAAATAGGTTCACCAAGTTATATATTCACAAGTGTCCTGACGGAAGTAATATTATACTTCCTCTATTCTTTGTATAAATAACTTTTAAAACTTTAAATTTATTGAATAAGATCATCTAATCCATATATAATTTAAACACATCATTTATCTAATAAATTTAAAAAGTTAAAATTCATTAAAAAACTGATAAGATGTTTTTTATATAAAAAAATATCACTACAAAAAAAAGTTTAATTTACTAGGAGTATATGATAGAGGTTAAGTCCCACACTATAAATATGTAGTATGAGGTTAAATTTCTCGCAACGCGTAAAACAAAAATAAATATTATAAAATTATTTCTTAGAGTAACACATCACAAATAAAAATGATGTCATTAATTTATTTTATTGGATAAATCACCACTCAGTGTGTCACTTTGATTAGAGTACCTTCAATGGTGCAATCTCCTTTTGGGTTTTTTGTGGGACCCATTAAGCCACATTATTTTAAAACAACTCATTCAATTTTCACTCTAATGATGCAACTCTAAAGAACCCATATTAGGTCTCACATCTTTACTTTATATATTAATATTTTATTCAAATTAAATTTTATTTAATTTAAAATAGTAATTTAAATTATTTAAATTTAAATTAATATAAAATAAATAAAATTAAAATTAAACATAAATAAATAAAATTTAAAATATAATTAAAATTAATCTCAAATACATGACATATAATTAAAAACAATAAAAACAATAACATAACGGAATTACTCAAATTTAATTTTCATCATCCTCATGTCTAAAATGTTCCCAAATATGTTCGACTAGATCTCCTTGAAATTGACGATGAACTTGTTTTTCACGAAGACTTGCTCTTATTTGTAGTCTTGTTGCAAGATTCAGACGAGGACCATTAAATATTTCAGTTGTTGAGTACGTGTCATCTACATTATCATAAGAGTAATCAAAATCACCTCCATATGTGTGTCGTTCGTCTTCAACAATCATGTTGTGCAAAATGATGCAAGCATATATGGTATGCTTAAGGGTTTCCATATGCCAAGCACGCGCTGAGCCACGTATAATTGCAAATCGAGATTGGAGCACTCCAAATTCCGGCTCCACATCCTTTCTAGCTGATTCTTGATGTTGAGCAAATAATTTTCACTTTTCTCCCCGCGACATTGAAATGGTCTTGACAAATGTAGCTCACTCAGGATATATACCCTCCGCTAAATAATATCCCATATCATATGATATTCCATTGATTATATAGTTCACAATGGGAGCATGTCCTTCCAAAATATAGTTAAACACATTAGATTGGTTTAGCACATTAATGTCATTGTTTGAATCTGCAATACCAAAAAATGCATGCCAAATCCATAGATCTTGTGATGCCACTGCTTCAAGCATGATTATGGGTTTACCATGATCACCTCGACAAAATTGTCCTTTCCATGCAACAGGACAATTTTTTCATTCCCAGTGCATACAATCAATGAAACCCAACATACCTAGAAAGCCATGTGACTCTCCCATTTGTAAAAGATATTCAACATCTGTGTTGTTAGGCTTTCTCAAATACTCTGCCCCAAATACAACATTCACACCCCGAATGAATCTTTCTAAGCACTCAACTGAAGTGCTTTCACCGATTCAAACATATTCATCAACACTATTAGCGGGAGACCCATATGCCAACATACAAATAATAGAAGCGCATTTCTGCAATGGTGAAAGACCCATTTTACCAGTTGCATTGATCCTCATTTGGAAATATTCATCATGATTTCCAAGGGAGGCTAAAATTCGAAAAAACACATGCCTATACATTTTGAACCTTCTTCGGAATTAAACATTTGTGTATACTGGATTTGCCGAGAAGTAGTCATTGAATAAACGATTGTGCCCTTCTTCACGACTTCAATCTATCACTGTTCTTCTCTTTATCCTAGAGGAACTTCCAGATTGATGTTCCTTCTTGAGCATTAACTTTAGTTGTTCTTCATCTGTGTTGTCCATAAATTCTTCTTCAATCAAGTTCCAAAAGAGATCATCTGAACTGTCTGAATCCATTAAAGTGAGTGAAGAATGTAAGAAGAATGAGAGAAGAATGAGAAAATAATGAGAAAATAATGAGAAGAGTGGTCATTTATATAGTGATATATGAATAACGGCTAGTTTGAATAACAACTAGTTTGAATAACAACTAGTTTGAATAACGACTAGTTTGAATAACAACATAATATTTATTATAAATTAAATTTGTATTAATGACCATTTTACATAGGTGTTGATACATAACAAGTACTACAATTTTTCATCATGACTAAAGTCCATATTTTTTTTCAACTTATTACAATATTTTTCATGAATATCTCGTTGACTACCATTCATTGTAGAAGTGTCTTTCGAGAGTAATTGTATTGCCTTATACTCCATCTTGTCCTCCTTACATTGAGCTAGTCTTTCCATTTCTTCTACTCTTTTATTCAATGTATCTTGCACAACATTAGAAGGTGATTCAGATGCATTTTCCTTTGCCTTACTTTTTCTTTTTGATGCTTGTTGTCCCATTGGACGCTCCATTGGTGATGATGAGTTAAACTCGTAACTTGAAGGTGTCGCAAGGTTAGACGATGATGAGTGTGCCCCACTAGCAGAATTCTTTGTTCTTTTTGAAGAATTTTCGATTGATGCTCCCATCCATTTAGGTTCATCCTTTAACAATCACCATGCGTACTCAAGATTGAATGGTGTACCTTCATCCTGAGCAAAAAAAGCATATGCAGCTGCCAAGACATCTTTCTCCGATGTCCCACTTTTCTTTCCATTAACAGCTTGTTTGTAACACCCAACAATTTTTTGAACCAAACCATTTATTCAATGCCATCGAGATTTTAATTTCCCACATAGCTTTTCCCGCGACTACCCATGATATTGATTATAATTGGTAGCGATTCTTAACCAAAAACTCTCAGCTTTTTGATCAACTCCCACAATTGGATCCTTTGAAACATTGAGCCATGATTAGATAAGAAGTATACCTTCTTCCCTTGAAAATAGCTCTCGAGATTTTTTTTAATGGGACGACTTTCTTCTTTTTTAATACCGACTTGAGCAGAACATGGTGGAACTTGACTTTCGGACATAAACATATTCGGTGGTTGTGTTTTCGGTTCATGACGAAAAAAATCCATAGACTGTTGAACATAGGGCGGAGTTTGGTGACGAAAAAAATGCGGCGGAGTGTTTCCGGAAAAAAATACGGCAGAATTTGTTGGCATCAATGGGAATTGAGAATTTTGAGGATTAGGATTTTGAAAATTTTGCATGAAATTGAACATAAATTATTGATAATTAAATTGATTAGGATCCATTTGGCCTAAACAATATTAATTTTGAAATAAAAAG